ACGACTATATTTGGAGGGAAATTATATGATGACAATATATCATAAGGCGCCTCGCGTGCCGGGCGTTATTTCGGGCAGTTACTCGCGCGTAACGGGACATTCATCGAGCTGTTTCAAATACTGATATTCGCCTTCTTGGGATTCCTACTGTAGCATACTCTGGGATAAAAATATGTTTAAGGTCAATTCAATCAATAATTTATATCAGCCGTTGTGCTATTAAGATAAGGCATTTACACATTCCTCTAAACACTTACATCCATAATTTTTAAGAGTTTTGGATTACTATTTGGACCGCAGAATGCAAAATATTCACTGAGTTGCATCTTACGTCATTTATTCAGGTAATGACATAATTGTTTTATTATGCATTTCGAAACAAGAGATTGCATGTTTTGATTGACTATGCAGCAGTTGATATTAAAAAGCACAACTAATTGATAAGTGATAAACGCCTGTTCTATTTTATAACTGCTTATGAAACATAAAAAAACATAGAATCTTTTTCAAACCAAAACGTAACAAATAACTCATTCGATGAAAATTGATGGGCATGTAAGCGTGTGGTGCCGGAAATGTCTTTAAACCCTGAAGTGGGAATGAAGACAGCATACGTATACAATGTTAACCGAGGCAATATGCTGTTTCCATATGTACAATTCTGTATCTCAGTAAGACAAGCAAAATTAATATTAATTGACATAATTGGACATCCTCACACTTGAGATTATTTGATAATGTAGAACTGCACTGCGGTTTTATATCGCTGCATTCTGCTTAAAATACACACTGTATTCATTATTAACTTGCAATTAACTAGTAATCCTCTAATTTTGATATTCAAATAATAAAGGGATTTAGACACACGCACACACACCTTCTTTTCAACAGTAGTTTAGACCAATTTGAATTTCCACTTTTACCGGTGACTCATGGTCCAGATTAATCTATTTTTGGCATATCAATGTATCTATTACCAACTTATGTAGGTACGATCTCATGTATGTGTCTCGCGCTCGTCTTTCTTATGTAACTTTGAACAGGACATTTTAGATACAACGATATCTGATTATTAGAAGCTCAGATGAACTAGTGCACTTCATAGCAACAGATGTGCTTATCCATTCATTATTTCATAATCAGATCAACCATGCATCATCTGTGGCAGCACACAATGTTCTTGTGACCCCAACACTATTTATTGCCAGCAAAAAGAACAACTATGCTGTCTTTAAATGTTCCAGATATTTCTCTTAATATGCTTCCTCGTCATCATGTCTGGTTCTCTATGCAAACGTGAAATGTTTGCTTTTAAGTGTAGTGATACGACTATTTCAGTTTTTATCACTTGGATAATATCATAGCTTCAATACTTTTGCACATTTTTTATCTGACTATCAACAAAAAATTGATTTTCCACGGTATCTAAGCCAATTCTTTTGATGTTTTGCGACATTGTCGTCGATACTGTTACATAAGGTATCCTCTATACCAATGAAAGATTAGCTTCGCCTGCTAGTCCGGCTAACACTGCTGTTAACACGATCTAAGCCGTGATCTGGTGCACAGATGTGACGGAACAAAGATCCTGTCTTCGCCGTATTTAAATTCTTTCTAAATATGTTACCCCTCACAGCTTTGATATTGCTAGGCCATTATGGTGCTTGTCTCGCTGTGCCCATAAAGACCCGCCTAACGGGACTACGACACGGTAACACACCTGCCTCCCCCTCTCTTTGTGACGCGGGACAGAGGGGAGGGTTCGCCATGCTTGACTGCCCTCTTGTAAAAAACAATTCTGTCACTTGGAATGATGTGTCTCTTTACAAACTTACATAAAAGTTAAACAACAGAAGACATAAATTTTGGTGCTTTAAATGAAGAGATCTCATTTCCAAGGATTCCAATGACAGAGTTGTTTTCACAGCTTGCGAAAAGATAAGGATAATAGAATCTAGCGGTTTCCCTAGCCCTCTTACCGTTAAGTGTACAGGTAAACAATGAAACACTGGCACGTGCCCGCTGACAGCCCTACACACAAACTGTTAAAATATTGACTTGAATAGAAAGGGCCATGTGTTATAAAGCCCCATTGTTGATGTTCGGCGCATCGTTTCACCTGAGAGGTTTTCTGTTCACCTGGAATAACCTTTGATTACCTGTAGTTACCTGTGTTAAGTATTAAACTGATTATACAAAAAGGAATTCAACACAGTGGTATTTAATTGAAAACAAAGACTTTATTCTTAATTCTTCACTAATCATACATAGCATCATCATAACAATATCGGAAAAATAGATTTGGCATTCTACTAGAGCCTTTATCCAGAGCTATACTGGTTGTCGTAACATGCAATCAACAGTATTCAATTATTAACGTGTCCATCGGCTCAACAAACATTACGTTGGATTAAAATGGGTAAGTATGTAAATGTAACTCTCCAGTTCACAGCTGATTGATGATAAAATAAAACACTTCGTAACTGCTCTTGTATATTTTTCTTAAAATAATGTTATCTTTTAAAGGCTGATGTTATTTCAATGGTAAAAGAATATTAACATATATGTTAAAGCACCGGGAGAATAATAATACAAAAATAGTTTGAATGAAGTATTTTTTGCTTAATTATGTAAAAAAAAAAAAAAAGTAACATAAAAACAGATGGGATATGTTGATATATTCTTTTTAAATACTGTTAGTTAAAAACAGCTAATTCATCTCATAAACGATAAAAAACATTGCGATTATTGATAGGAATTTGATAACAAAAACAGTATTATGAAGTGTTTACTATCAGCATTCAAAATGGATGTCATTATACAATATAGTAAAATACATAATCGATAAGGCATCAAAATGGCACAAACATTTGACAATTTGTAGAATCATGCAAACAACACACAATATAATTATTTGATTACATTTTATTGATCAAATCATGCAAGAAATTAATAGTAGAAATGAAACCGAATAAAATATATTATGCTCGCAACTTAAAACAATAAAAACCGACAAGGTCAGGCACAGGTTCCGATGTATACGTTATGCTTTACTAAATCTGACCGGACCACTCAAGATATCCTCAGTCTACTTGATCTAGGAATAGTAAGGTATGCTGCTTAATTTGTGACTTAGACAGTGTGATGTTCAGATAGCTTGAACTGGGAACGAAAGACGCTGTATTAAATAATAATAATGTTACTACTAGATACAATGTATAAGACTGTTGTATCTAACTACGTGTAACTTGGCCCTCTAATAATACACGGGGGAGAAAAGTGTGTGACTTTAATGCGTCTTGACTTTTCAAATCAAAATATCACAAACCTATTTACATACATGTATATACTGACTATTGACATCAGATAAGTTCGGGTACTAAAATTTTGTATCTTAATGGAAACCAAAACATATTGAACTGTTCTCTATTTTTAGGTGTTGAACATTTAATGTTTTAGTCATTCAGGATAATATTAAGATAACTGTCCAATGATCAACATGTCTTCATTAATAAATAATGTAAGCATGGCGTAAGGTTGACTATGGTCTAATCTAAATCTAGCTATCTATCATACACTCCACAGTCACCTCAGCCCTAGCGCTACTCTACGGTCTAATACTGGACGTGTAAGGAGGTACCTCAACGGATTTCAATTACAAAACTACCCGGCTATATCATTTTAACGTTACAGAGCCGTGAAACAACCCCCACTAAACTTCTTTTTCTGTAGATTTTATCGGTTATCAAATATTTAAATGTGAGCAATCTGAAGTTTAAGCATTCAGGTACAACAGTAAATAGATGTGCCTTTATCTACCTGGTCATGCTCTTGTAAGCACGGCACACTTCAGGCTCGCGACTGTCGCCAGCTTTAATCAGCTGCCAATCTACCTGGGTTTACAAAGGCCATTTAACAGGTAACGAATCTTTTTACCTTATTATCTGCCTTTCGGCTTACCGCTATTTCTACTGTCATCTAACGGACCCTCGTCTCACTATTGTTGTCGCCATCTGGTATTACTTTGCTTAAGGCTCATGAGGGGATATTTTAACGGACCATAATTTACAATAAAATATTGCATAATTATATTGAATAAATTTAAACCACAATATTTGTTTGAAAAACTACTTTACCCAATATTTTAAATTTTAAAAAAATACACTGTTATGAAAAAAGGCCGTAGGGTGATGTAAGTGAATAAACTAAATTAAGAAATATTACTAAAAAGAATATTTCAGAAGCGTAACGTTAAAACTAAGTAGTCAAACCCCGTGAGGCACCTCATTACCGAATATGTGTAATCTAACTACATATATTGATTATTGCAATACCGAACGGCCTGCTTGTGTGGAGTGATCCGCACAAAGGAGGTGTGTAACACATACCTGTTAGTATAATATACAAATCTAAACGATTATTGCACTGGGGGCTTTGTATAACAATCTGAGACTTAATTCCCACTATATATTAAACTTTTTAATTTAAATATGAACGATATAAGTATTTTATTTTATATTTATATAAAATATGATAATTGGATTTCAAGATAATTACTATATACTCAAAAGGTGTATAAATATACTCTGAAAAGTAAAACTATCCTTCAATCTACTATCAATAAAAACTTATATCTGAGGCGGGAATATATTATCTCTGTTATATTATGAATTAATATAAAAACTAAACATAATCACATAAATATAAATAAATTAAATAATTTAAATTAAGTCAAAATTAAGATTCAACAAAAGAGTATAACAAAATATAGTTACAGCATTAATTATAAATACAACACATCTGATAACCTGACATCTGTATATTTCACACACACCATGCCATACGCAGCTCATTTTGATTTCTCATTAAATTCTAAGCATGAAATAATTCATTTCAAAATTCCTGACTGTAAACATCGGTGGAAAATGTTTTGAAATATTGAAAAAAAAATAAGAATATTTGAACTGGTAGTATAATATAAATAAGACAAAAACTAAACAAATTTGAATTCTCTAAAACGACTTATTATTTTAACAAAGCATAAGGCACCAGTCTACATACTGTATAACATCCGGGTACATTACCAGAGACAAGGCATTAGTGTATAACATACAGTGGTCAAAGGCACGCGGGTTGAGCCCGGGGATTCACACATACTAGATGCGGCTCACCCCTAAACAGATACATTAGTTTGGACGATTTACTGAAGGTGGAAACTGAAGTAGGATGACTTGCCTGTTCTCGGAGGGATGACATTTGTTAATGTGACGTGTCAATCCTGGAGAACTGTAAAAGGTGCTAGAGCAATATTTACAATTAAACACTTCGCACGTGTGTGTGCGTGCATGTTTTTCCAACATTACCTTATTTGGGAAAAACATCTTACATACATTGCAACACAGTTCTTTGTTGTTATTGTTATTCAAATGCAAAAGTTCATGTTTGGTTTTGAGCGCATCGTTTGGAAATATTTTGTGGCAGAACTTACAGTTTGTCTGTCGGTCGTTGGCGTGGTTGAGCACGTGTTTCCGTAGGTAGGCCTGGCGACGGAACTTCTTTCCACACGTTTCGCACTCGTACTGTCCGTCAATAGAGGGCGAAGCGCGCAGGTCACCAACTGTCATTGACAACACGTTACCGTTTTCAACATTTTGAGATATGTTGTTATTGTCACTGTTATCGTTAATGTTACTTAAGTCTGGTTTGGCTGGAAGTATCGGTGGTTGGTAGTTGGGTTTGTTGTTGTTGACGGGCCTGGGTTTGTGCCAACGGCGATGGGATGCTAGATTGGCAGGACAGCTAAACACCTTGTCACATTCCGGACACCTGTATTCCACGTGTACGATTCGCGAACACCTATGTTGTGCAAGCTTAAAAGCATCAGAGAAAAACTCTTTACAAAGCTGACAAACATAGTCACCAATTTTGTTTACGATTTTGTCCAATTCTGCACGTGCCTCCGGGGTGGCCTCCACGTAGTTGAAGCTGCTGTCGATGTCCCCATACACGACTTTCCCATCCTCTTCCCCATCAGATATATCCTTGATGATACAGCCAGAGACGGGGGACGACTTGTCCTCGTCAAAGTTGATCTTCCTCACAGCTTTAGATTTCTTGGGAACTTTTGACTTGTTATCGTTATCATTATTACCCCTGCGTTTGTTAGGACTATTCTGTTGAGACGGAGATGTGACTTGAGACTCCTTTTGATTAACGTTCAAGTTCCAATTTTGATTATTAGGTGAAAAATTTGACACACTCAGTTTGTCAAATGTGGCGTAATAGAATGGCGATGGGTAAGATGAGCCGGTGGTACTTACAGTTAGTGGTGACGACGCCGGCGAAAAACTCACAAAATCCTTGTCATTTATGTTGTTGTTGTTTTCCTCGTCTTTGATGTCGACCTGAACCTGATCATGTTTCAGGTTTTCCCGGATGATGAGGTTGACTGGGCTCACAGAGTACCCGGAATCAGGGGACCCAAATTTCGTGATGATGGGAGCTTCATGATCTGAGCCACTTTCATAACGCTCTGTATCTTCTTCTGAGTTCCGACGCTGCCTATACGAGATAGCGTTAGAATGTTTTGTTCGTTTAACAAGAAATCCTCTTGGCATGATGATATCGGTTGTTTAATTGTTGATCTACTGATGGTTAATAAGGCACTTATGGTGACTGGACACACACACTTTACATGAAGATGTTACTGTACGTTACCATAAGACGAACTCAGTATTGAAACGAAAAGTTCCGAAAGTCGGGATTTGGCCAATGGTTGGTAACAGTATCAAGTGAAGATGATGCTATGGAATTCTTTTACAGGATACAACAAAGTGTTTGTCGCGCTGTTTCCACAAATGGTATTTTCTCTGTATAAAAATCTTCAACAGCATGGTGTGCGAGAATTGACCAAATCCGTCCAAATGTCGCCATGCTAATCCTTATATAGGCACGCTTCTATGAAGACCGTTGGATTTTGTATCCGATGAATATGCATGAGGATTCAAAGGGTGTCGCGCGCCGTTACTCCGCCCCTCTGTGTCACAATCAGTTTCAGCAGGCTGACTGGCCGTCTCTTTGTTTCGCTTACCTTAGTGACGTTAATAATTCGATTTTGTATTGCTATTTGAATTTCCCACAGATTATGTCTGTTATTCTCGCTATCGGTATTTCCATGGGTTTTCTCTTCTGATTACACCTTGTCACTAGCGTTCAATACGCTTTATATAAAACAAACAGCTAGGCACAGTACTATCACCTATTTAGTGGAAACCAATACAATACACTCTTTTCATAATCTTAATAATACAGGTACATTCCTTTGTACTGGTCTTATACATTCATCATAATTCGTAACAAAAAAAATCGGGTTTGATAAATCAATTCTCAGATAAACTTATTTACAACCTACTGTGAAATGGACGGCTGCAAATAATTCCATCTGTAATAGAAATATTTTTTCGACTTTATAAATGATTAAAATTGTTTCATTTAGATAATCAAATTTCAGTCAGAATAAAAATGTGGTTATATTCTATATAATGTAAACAGCGATACATGTCATATGCATTATTTTATTTTATTTTTAAGAAGTTGAACAACTACTGTAGATTTTGAAACCTGCAGCTTCATATCACAAATTTCTAAATCACACGAAGAATAAAAAAGATATTTTAAAATAAATCAAACTTACTTGATATTTGTTTTCAACTATAAAACTCACTTGAAGGTGTTCAAAATGTGACCTTACAAAAATTGCTGGAAAGATCAAGCGATATAGCTAAAATTATATTAATTTTTCCACATTTACTGATCCATACTAACAGACAAATACCGACACAAGTTCCGACCGAAAGTCGCGTTTACAAATAGATGTTTTATAGGTTTTGACGATCTTTTATTTCTTCCGGACAACAGCTGTGTAACGTTGTTAAAGCAGGAAACAGGTTGTAAAAAATATATCATGACTTTGAGGAAATGAGTGTACTTATAGTTCCAGTGACAGCACATATCGATACAGCAGCTGATACTCTACTGATATTTGAACATGAAAATCGTCCATGCGGTACGGACAGCGGTTTACCAAAACAATGATATAGGGGTTCCCATGTATTACACATGGAGACACTATTGATGGATAATATGTGTAGCTTCCGCTCGTATCTCAATATATCTCATATGCGTTTGGATGTTCGTTTGTGCGCGTGGGCTGATTTGCATACAGCTGAAAATCGCGAGGTGATCGTGCAAATGGGACAGAATGCACGCGACCGTCTTTGTCATTTTAATGAACGAGCAACCGACATCACTCATGCGTGTTACAGCGAATATGTCATATTAATTTTTGGTCACTTCATCCGATATTTTAAATCATTTAATTATCGTCGGTATGTTTATACTCCGATGAAATATGGGGATAATATTGATCTGAAATGATAAGGATTATTTTTCAACAGCAACACCCATCGAGATATATCGATTACCTAGTGCTGTTGAAAACATTTATTCTGGTTGATGTAAAGGGAATATCGGTTACCCCTATTTATCGTCTACACTTTCATATAATTCCTATGTTGCTATGAACAACGTTTACACATTTTAAATTTAATTCCAGCTCGATCTTCGTGCATGCATAGAAAACATTTTTTCTAACTTATGAAGTATTTTTGATAAATATATCTACATTTGTAATGGGATATATTAGTTATCAAAATCTAGTTAAAATGGTGTGTTTTGTCTTACTTTTTTATGATGCTTTAGAACAATTATTGCGAAGAGAAAATATGGACAAAAATCACATGTCAAATAACAATCATACTTGTACATACCTTTAGTATCATATACAGGTATATCATCTCACCATTGTTTGGTGTTATACGTGAAGCATCACTCTGTTGACTAATTAAATACATTTTTATTTTAGCCAAACCCCTCAATACAGAGTTCAATTCCACACAAAACTTACATCAGCAATGACAGAATATGAATTTGTTTAATTGACAATCAATAAAGAAAAGCTTCGTTCTTTATTGTTAACTGCTGAGAGATTTTTAACAGTTCTGTATTGACCACTTCTTCAAACGTTAATAGACATGATCGTTTGCCAGGCACCTAGTTATAATCGGTAGCACTACTGCCATCATTTAGAGAGTTTTAATGTTGACCACTGTTTCTAGCGTCAACAAACACACTCTTTTGGAGACTAATGGCGACTTTAAATCGGAATCACTATAACAAGCAGTAAAATGACGTGACCCTCATCAGTTTATAGTAAAACAGCAAATGTTTAGATTTGATCAATCATCTCTGAAGGCTATCGACATGATATCATGTTTCAAATTGTATGTGCATTATAGTATAAAAAAAAACACTGTTAAAATTGCATAAAGGGAAATCTAGATAAGTGTTTATCTGTTTTGCCGACTATTCCTATCGGTATACGCATGTTTAGCCCAGCAGATGTCCGCAAACGGTCGCGCGCGCGTTTATTGGTCGTGCTCTCGCGGTCTTTCTGTGAGCACACCTATTTCGGAGATCAACAATACGTACCGATGTCTGCTATTATTAAGTATTTCATGCAACGGATTTGTAACGGTATGAATGCATACAATAACGGCCCGGGCGCCTTACCTACCATACAGACGTGCGGAGCCGTCACCTGTTCCCAACGACATCTGGTTCCCTGTCACAGACAGAAAGAATATCTGTGGTACGCTGTCTTTGTGGAATAGGCACTGCTGTGTATTTGTCTTCCAGAATAAAAAGAAAATAGGCAAATATAAAATCGATAATGTATTGATGTTACGAGGTGCTCTGATTTTCAAATAAAATCAACTTACCTTAATCAGCATTTTCAGACGAGAAGACTAAACTTTCTATAATGGGATCAAACTTAAGTCAACTTTTAAGGTATTACCATCAATGTCTGACATTCTTATCATAACTTTTGAAAAATAGAAAAAAAATCGTTATTTTCTACATTCGTGAAAGAAGACGTTTTGGCGAAGTCTTAAAATGAAAAAAAATAGTGTCCAAGCAACAATCATACAACATTTTGTTCAAACAGAAATGAAATCTGTTTTATGTCTCACAAGACAACAAAATGTTCTTCTTCTAAGAAAAATCTAAATTGTGTTTATATTCTGTTTTAGTTTGCATTTACACATGTTATGATCTTCTTTTCTCATAATCCCTGTATTCCTTCGAAACTGTGGTTCAAAATCTTGATCTTTGTTTTTTATTCCTTTTAATAAATTTGACTTTGAGACATGAATTTTTTATTGTGCATTGGCGTTTTGTTATGTTTTCCCTATTTTACCTGATACGGACAACATTATCAATACAGAAGTGTTACTTTATCTATGTATCTTGTGTCGAGTCAGTATGTCCTTATTTTGATATTTTTTTCTCTATTTATTTTTAGTGCATTCATTCCCTAATTTAAACATTTATAGTCATCAATAAGTGCGTGTATGTCGTTTAGAACTTCCAGACTTTGACACTGATCTCTGTAACACAATGACGGGGTGGGTTAAAGGGAACTAGTTGCTCGTGAGTAATTAAGTGCACTCGGTGTACAGTTGGCCGGTTAATTACATCTAAATATAGAACTGGTCGGCACGTGCCAGCCACGAGCGGTGAGATACCCGGACAGGTGCTGGCCTGAGGACACCGCCGGCCAGACGTGTCAATATGATCAGCTGTATGAGATATTCATAACTCACCTCACCAATCCTCCTGGTCCAGGACAAAGACTGAAGGGGATATGTTAAAATGCTTACTCCACATGTGTAGTATTTCAATTAAAACAATCAATTATCGGCATTAAAAGCCGTTTAACATTTCTAAACGCATCCCTTGTTCCTATGTTATCAGGCGTCAGGGCAAAATTCCCCGTAATCAACATCCTTATCGATTCTTACAAATTAACTTAAAAAGCCAATGACAATTTGTTGGCTAGCGTCTCGAATTCTTAATTCATTATCATTTACTCCAAATTCAACTCCAAATTAACTCCAATATCAACTCGATCCCACCTTGTTATCACAAGATAAACATTAGCTCATTGTACTTCATACTTAGTTTGTTTATGACCAATATCGAATTTCAAACTGTTTCAGATTACCGTCATTGTTGTTTTAATAAAAAGTTTAAAATGAAATATGACATCATACTTATATTGTTTAATATATATTAATGCATCAGTGTATTATCCACACCTACTAGATGCACGAACATCTTTTATTAAGACAGAGAGCCGCGTCCCTTTGTGTAACTGTACTCACACCTTTAAACGGGGCCTAACCTCGTTGTAAATATTTTACCGGTAAATACGGTACATAGCATTAACCGTTGTAGCTCGCGCCTGGCAACAGTTCGGCAAAACCGTGTCCACAAACTATTGACGGAGTGTTTGTCCTGGCGTCAACTTTAACCCTGCCCCCTATACTATGGCACGCGCCAGCGTAGTGAATGCGCATGTCAGAGACAAGGTGACACGCGGTGTGTTGGAAGTAAAATCGGAAAATTTGAAATGATAGGACTTTTTTATATCTTTTCGTTTTCTTTGTGCGGTTGCACGACTGTCAGGCTTTTTTCAGGTTTTTACATTAAACAAGGCGAGTTGGTTTTTTATTAATCAAATCGAGGAAAAAACGCATCCCTTTTCAATTCTAACGTTTAACGCAAATCAGAAATGACATATAACCCTATCATAGAAACGAATCCCTAGGTATTTTAAAGACTTCCATCACATGTGTCATTTAACGTGCTTGTATAACAATCTAACCTCGTACAACTGTACTGGTAATTAATAGAATTCAAAACACAGACGATACAGCTTTCCAATAATCTTTGCATCTATTTCATCGTCACGTTAGATCGACGGACTACCGTATGCCCAGTATCAAAACATGTTTGATATATGCTAACAATCTGTTACTACCCAGTTGCTT